TATTTTACATCACTGATGGCCAGACGTATCTGTTAATAACAAACTTCACAATGGTATATATACTTTACATCACTGATGGCCAGACGTATCTGTTAATAACAGACTTCACAATGGTATATATAATTTACAGCACGATAGTATCTGTCAATAACAAACTATACCATGGTATATATATTTTACAGCACTGATGGCCAGACCTATCGGTTAATAACAGACTTCACAATGGTTTATATACTTTACAGCACTGATGCCCAGACTTGAAAACAGAGAGATGGTATCTGTTAATAACAAACTATACCATGGTATATATATTTTACAGCACTGATGGTTAATAACAGACTTCACAATGGTTTATATACTTTACAGCACTGATGCCCAGACTTGAAAACAGAGAGATGGTATCTGTTAATAACAAACTATACCATGGTATATGTATTTTACATCACTGATGGCCAGACGTATCTGTTAATAACAAACTTCACAATGGTATATATACATTACAACACTGATGCCCAGACTTGAAAACAGAAAGATGGTATCTGTTAATAACAAACTACACCATGATATACATCTTTTACACCACCACTGTTCAGACTTATTATTACTATCTTGATTGGGCAAAAGCTAAACAGAGGAAGTCTTTTCAACTATCCTTACAGAATACATAGGGCTAAATATCAAAAATCATTATTTCAAATCATTGGTCCTTGCCACTATTGATAGCAAAAGTGCACATTCACTAACAGTTCAGTATTTTCATTTCGTTGACCCATAAATAAAATTATTGACTAATGATACACAGTGAAGTGCTAGTTTTAGTAAAGTAAATTAAATTAAAGCAAATGTTTACAGTGCAAACAAATCTTACAAAGAGTCACACATCTTGGTATTTTCTAGGAGTACAAATTTATCAATGAGAATTTCTAAATTTATTTTAACGAACAAAATAAGGGTGTGGTCATCGGGCAGCAAGTCTTTGAATTACATGGGACCAATGTGTTTTACATGCGTTGTATATGCCACTACATGTACGAGTCTTATATCGAACAGGACATGGTGGGACGACCACCGCCTTTAAGTTAAAAACAGTGAAACATGGGGAAAATTGAAGTATAATGTTAGAAAATTAAGTCTGTCATAGGACAATACCCCTAGATAGTACCAGGATGTGTGACCTTCAGGGGTCATACATAGGGTCTATTAAAACAAAGAAAATACATGTAGGTAGCCTAATCCAACTTACTTTGTACTTCCGGGTCGTTCTGTGCACATGTTAAGCCAGTATATCCACTTGGACACCTAAAATGAATGTGAAAATCAGGGTAAAAGCATGAGAAATAGACCACGGATCAGGTTCCGTTAGAAGAACTAAATCAGCCAAGACTGCAGCTTGTTTTCTGATTTTTCAGACACCCCCAGTGCAATAATTGTAGTGTATTGTGGGATAGTTTTGTCAGCTTGCATTATCAGGTGTGATTGGTGGTGTTTAAATCAGCCAAAACTACTTCATAATTCACTATAATTTAGAATTGTGATATATTGCATATCACATGGCTAAATTACATGTTTTACATCGATTGTACATGTTGCATGGGACACACTATGTTGGCTGTGACATTTTAAGGGCAGTGACATATAAGATGTTGGAAAAAATAATACGACTTGACCATTAGAAACTTTTAGACTGGGGGTGTCTGAAAACAAGCAGCCATGGCTGATTTAGTTCTGCTGTTTGTAAACAAAGCAATCTGATCCGTAGTATAAATATCATAACAAAATGACCAAATCTGTAAAAGAAACTACTCATGCTACCTAATAATAAAGAAACTGGTTTTAAAAAAATCAAAAATAGCCATTTCAATAAAAATAACCAAAATACTAAAATTAAAGAATGGAAGGTAATGTCATATACATGTAATAAATAAATCTGAGAGAAATCCATCCAAAGTATTTCTACATTAAAAATATCAAAGTAATTAAGATTGCAGTTTTCAAAAAGATATCGAAAATGACATTTTTTTACCTAAAATATGCCCCAAAATTTGAGAATTGACTATCGTCTAAATAGAGATGGCCAGTCAAAGTAATTCCCATCAAAGCCATTAAGCTATCTGTTTTCAAGAAGTCGACAAAAATAGTATTTGACACTAAAATGTATGTTGCATTGAATGATATGATGTAAGAATATGTGTGTAAAGTTTGAATGTAACCAGGGCATGCCTGAAATACAGTTGAGGATGGATGGGCGGGTAACAGATGCATGTAGTTGAAACCATTTTCTGACTACATCTAAATGGGGATAGAAAATATTGCACAGGATTGAGTGGAGAAAAGCCAATGAAAAGAATTTAAACCAGCATTCACATTGTCCTGGAAATAAAAATCTAGTTCCAATAAAAAAAAAAAAGTTTGTCTACCAGCTTTATACACAACCAAACTTCTAAACATATAAACCCAAACTTCATCGAAACAGGTTAGGTTCAACAACAGGTGATTTTCTGTTTACCATGAGATTTCGCGTATTGCAGACTGCCACACTGATTGAATGATTTAATATTGAACTTGAATTTTTTTTATAGCTCAATTTTGATATACAGACCTTTGAGAAGGAAATTTTGCGCTGAGATACCCTTATTTATCAAAATTAACCATCATTAAATGTATATAGCACATTATTTAAGTGTGAAATACCCCAAAATTACTTTCTCATTGCGACATGTTGATGCCACTACAACCTTTTTTTGTTCTTTGTAGTTTATATAGTTTATGTATAATGCAGAATCTCACAGTGAGCAAAAAATGATTTATTGTGGGTCAACTTACAGACAACTGAATCCATTTTTTACTGCAGTACATATGCCTCCATGACGACATGGGTTAGAATTACAAATATCTAGGAAGGAAAAAGAATAAATGAAAATGATGAATCTATTGCAACAAATATATAATGGTAGGCAGAATATATTTCTTGCAACCAAAGTCAAAGCAACAATTCCACAAAATATCCAACAATGGACTAAAACTGTCAATTTAATCACAAACTGAGTAAATGGTAGTAAGACAAATATGATGTTGGGAGTATGGTAGATGTGACAAATGCTTTTTACAAACAGTTTTCCATTACACAATTTTTTTTTTGTATTTTTAGTATGCTAATGCATTAACCTAATAATAAAAACATGAAGAGTGACATAAAATCCTAAATTGAGGTCTGAGACTATCACTATGACAACAATTACTTACTTATACATCCAAGTTCACTGAATTGATCTCCAATGTGTCCATCTTGGCAAGTACAGGTAAATGTACCAGGTTGATTTATACATGCCGTATTTGGAGATGTACAGTTTATACTCTCTTTACATTCATCAATGTCTACGGAAAATAAAAAAAATATTGCAATTGATTAATAAATTAAAAGTGATTCACTGAATAGACAAGTTTCTAGTCCCACCATTACCTTAGAAACATTCTGATGAAAAAACATTTCAATTTTGTCAATCTGGGTTTGATTTCATGAGCTCTTTGGAACATGGGAAATCAGTAAAACCAGCAAAAAAATTTGGCAAGCAAGAAATCAACCCTCTATTCTCACATAGAACTTATCTCGAAACATTGAGGTAGGTGGGATACAAGTGGCAGTATTCAGGTGGGTGGGATACAAGTGGCAGTATTCAGGTAGGTAGAATACAGGTGGGAAGTATTCAGGTAGGTGGGATACAGGTGGGAAGTATTCAGGTAGGTGGGATACAGGTGGGAAGTATTCAGGTAGGTGGGATACAGGTGGGCAGTATTCAGGTAGGTGGGATACAGGTGAGCAGTATTCAGGTAAGTGGGGTACAGGTGGGCAGTATTCAGGTAGGTGGGATACAGGTGAGCAGTATTCAGGTAGGTGGAATACATGTGGGCAGTATTCAGGTAAGTGGAATACATGTGGGCAGTATTCAAGTAGGTGGGGTACATGTGGGCAGTATTCAGGTAGGTGTGGTACAGGTGGGCAGTATTCAGGTAGATGGGATAAAGATGGGCAGTATTCAGGTAAGTGGGATACAGATGGGCAGTACTCAGGTAGGTGGGATACAGATGGGCAGTATTCAGGTAGGTGGGGTACAGGTGGGCAGTATTCAGGTAAGTGGGATACAGGTGGGCAGTTTTCAGGTAAGTGGGATACAGGGGGGCAGTTTTCAGGTAAGTGGGATACAGATGGGCAGTATTCAGGTAGGTGGGATACAGATGGGCAGTATTCAGGTAGGTGGGATACAGGTGGGCAGTATTCAGGTAGGTGGGATAAAGATGGGCAGTATTCAGGTAGGTGGGATAAAGATGGGCAGTATTCAGGTAGGTGGGGTAAAGATGGGCAGTATTCAGGTAGGTGGGGTAAAGATGGGCAATATTCAGGTAGGTGGGGTAAAGATGGGCAGTATTCAGGTAGGTGGGGTAAAGATGGGCAGTATTCAGGTAGGTGGGGTACAGATGGGCAGTATTCAGGTAGGTGGGGTACAGATGGGCAGTATTCAGGTAGGTGGGATACAGATGGGCAGTATTCAGGTAGGTGGGATACAGGTGGGCAGTATTCAGGTGGAATACAGATGGGCAGTATTCAGGTAGGTGGGATTAATAGAGAAAACTCTGGGTTGAAAAACCTACCTTCACACATTTTAGGTATGCTGTATGCTCTCCAACCTTGTCTACATTGACATGTAAATGTTCCATTTAAATTGATACATGTAGTCGACTCTGGATGACAATCATTTACACCAAGTACACATTCATTTAAATCTATTATGCAAAGAAAGTGATTAAAATTATTAAGCCATCTGGTGGCAAAGTGGTAACATTGAATTGCTTTTATCATACGATGCTGTAAAATACTGGAATTAATTTTCGCTGAAAAGAGATTTATTTTCACTAATGTACATTTGTTGGGTTTTATTTTTTGGGTTTTATTTTCGGTGAAAATACATCGTCTGCATCGCACAGTTTCGCTAACATATCGACTTGCCTGATTTGGTCTTTATTGCAACACAGTGAATCTTATAATCATTTCTGGGCATGCGACATACAGTAAATCGCGGTGAAATCTGCCTGGTTCTCAAATAAATTAGTTTATAGCAGCAACAAAATTAAGAAATTTTAGGTTCAACCATTTGCTTAACATGGGTAAACAAGAAATATATCTAAACCAAGTTTTGTGGAAAGAAAAGGCCTTCATAAACTGAACCCTGCACAATCGGAAACCTGTGCAAACCAGCAATTTGTTTAAAAGAAAACCCTGTGTTAGATTAAAAACTATTATTATACATCTGTCATTGTAACGCCATAAGTTACGGGGTATTTTCATCCTACCATATTAGGAAATGCGAATTCCAAATATGTAATGATTACGCGCGTAAGGTTCCTAATAATAAACACAAACATGGCTGCCACCAAGGTTTGACCGGACTCCACACAAAGAAGTTCGCAGATTCCTTGGAATGGAAACGATGTATTATAATTAGGTTATTAGGAGGATACCTCAAAGTATGCACTCAGACAGTACACCGTCGCATCGACCGACCTGCATACTCCCGTTGTACTGTCTTTGTGCATACTTTAAGGTATCCTCGTAATAACCTCATAGTGACCTTTATATAAAACACATACCTGATGCATATGATGATGCTTTATTAATTTCATATCCTGGCATCTGTGTATTATTCATGTAACAAACACTACCATCACATTCTATAGTATCTTGCAATATGACATTAACATCATCTATGGTTACCATGGTTTCCAGATCAAAAGATAACTCACTATAACTCACCAAGCTACCACTCCTGGAATAAAGAAAAGTTCAATTGTATACTTTCAGTTATACTCATTATCACCTTAACAAAAGACTCAAAAAAACAAATATTAGATAAACTCAAACTTCAATGTATTGGATAATTAACAAAAATTATAATTACATCAGATCTACATTTACATAAACATTGCAAATGAAAAAAAAAACTTCACATCACACAACACCTATTATACTATGGAATACAAATAAGTACAAAATAAAAAACTTACTGGAATTTGATGACTTTGGATCCAATGAAACTGTCAAGTATCTGATAGGTTTCATTCAGCTGTGAAAAAAGAAACAATGATAAATTTGAAACAACTTTGTATGTATCCAACCATATATTCACATCACGGATGAAATCAGTCACACAGGTCGGCATGGTCTCACCAAGTACAAATGATGAGAATTTTGATTTTTCCCATGAAATGGAGAAAATTCTGATTCATGCCAATGAAACTGAGAGAATCTTATTCATGTCAATAAAATGATGAGAATTTTGATTATTCAAGTGAAATGATGAGAATTTTGATTATTCAAATGAAATGATGAGAATTTTGATTCTCGCCAATGAGAGAATTCTGATTCATGCTAATGAAATTGAGATAATTCCGATTTAAATCAATGAAATGATGCAAATTTTGATTCTTCCAATGAAATGGAGTACATTTTGATTCTCGGCAATGAAATGGAGTACATTTTGATTCTCGGCAATGAAATGGAGTACATTTTGATTCTCGGCAATGAAATGGAGAATTTTGATTTTCGGCAATAAATTGAAATGAAGAGATCAAATTTTGATTCTCGCCAGTGAAATGGAGAGAATTTTGATTTTCGCCAATGAAATGGAGAGAATTTTATTTCTGGGCAACGAAACTGAGAGAATTTTGATTCTCGGCAACGAAATGGAGAGAATTTTGAATCTCGGCAACGAAATGGAGAGAATTTTGAATCTCGCAAATGAAATGGAGAGAATTTTGAATCTCGCAAATGAAATGGTGAGATCTTTGATTCACGCAAATGAAATGGAGACTATTATTAGTCCTCGTTCGGACAAAGTCCGAAAACAGGGACTATTAATTTGGGTTCCTTTCGTCCGTACGTATGTACGTACGTCCGGAACTATATCTCGGACACCCATTGACGGATTTCATTCAAACTTTACATGAAGACAATACATAATGTCTTACATATGCGCGTCAAGTTACGGTACTCTATGATCGAAGCAAAAATGGCCGACTGATACCTAAACGTGTCCGAAGCAGTTTCTCAGATGACGAGGCCAATTTGGATCAAAGTTGGTATGGTGATCATACATATTGGGTTATAGGTGCACGTCATATTTTTTTTGTGATTGGAACAAATATGGCCGACTGGTGGCTATTTTGTTTTTCATTATACTCATGCCTACTTTCCCATGAATACAATGAACGTTTCTGTTTAAATTTGTACAAAGACAGTATACCAAGATACATCAACATGAACATTATTTTTGTAATTTGATTCAATATGACTGCCCAATGTCCAATTCTCGTGTAAAAGCACTAAATCATAATTTTTTACAAATCCATCGGCTATTAATGGTTTCAATCTAATCTCAATGACTTCATCAACATCAAATTGATATGTCAGATCACATAATTAAAGCCTTGGCAAACTGCAAGTGTCAGTTACACGCTTCAGTCCTTTTTGTTTTTCACAGACAATGATTTTAGATTCATACATACAACTGGTGAAGTATTATTTAGTGAACAGAATGTACAGGCATAACTTAAATATTTTGAACAAATTGGTTTCTATGGATACTTACACTCCTTTCAATCTGAGCTGCCAGATTTCTGTATCTCATACTGGCTGGGTTCTCCAACTCTTTTGAAAACTCTAAATAATCGTAAACCAGTACTGCTCCATATTTCACAGCTACAACACATAGAATATAAAACACTAAGAATACATTATGTGTATATTGTGTACAGTTTAGCCTTTTCACCACCAGACTTTCTCACCAAAATTTGTCTGAATACTGCCGACCTGTATCCCACCTACTTGAATACTGCCCACCTGTATCCCACCTACTTGAATACTGCCCACCTGTATCCCACCTACTTGAATACTGCCCACCTGTATCCCACCTACTTGAATACTGCCCACCTGTATCCCACCTACTTGAATACTGCCCACCTGTATCCCACCTACTTGAATACTGCCCACCTGTATCCAACCTACTTGAATACTGCCCACCTGTATCCCACCTACTTGAATACTGCCCACCTGTATCCCACCTACTTGAATACTGCCCACCTGTATCCCACCTACTTGAATACTACCCACCTGTATCTCACCTACTTGAATACTGCCCACCTGTATCCCACCTACTTGAATACTGCCCACCTGTATCCCACCTACTTGAATACTGCCCACCTGTATCCCACCTACTTGAATACTGCCCACCTGTATCACACCTACTTGAATACTGCCCACCTGTATCCCACCGACCTGAATACTGCCCACCTGTATCCCACCTACTTGAATACTGCCCACCTGTATCACACCTACTTGAATACTACACACCTGTATCACACCTGCCTGTATCCCACCCACCTTGGAGTCAACGGACAAAATTTTAGTAATTTTTCAGTTTTTATTCAATGTGTAAAGTTTAGAGACAGACACAGGATAACAAATACCACATTTGCTCTATTAGTAGTGTATGTTTTTATTATGTAATTTCATACTCCTATGGTCAAAATAATATTTTAATGATTTAGTATACAACAAATATAATTTTTGGTTTATATGCACTTCCGGCTGAGATAGCTCAGCTGCAATGCGCATTTTAATTAAAGATATAATAATGATTAGAAAATGAACAAATCTGAGAGAGGTCTACCTGAGGTCCCTATATGTATAGTTTTTATCAAAACAATCAGACTTGCTGTTATACTTTTTACCAAAAATATTCATCAAAATCAGAAAATTGAAGATATTATCATGAAATGAACAAATCTGAGAGAGGTCTACCCAAGGTACATTGTACATATACACAAAGTATCAAAGCATTCAGGCTTATAGTTTTCAAGAAGAAGTTGGAAAAGTAAAAAGTTGACATGGACAACGGACGCCAGACGCTGATATACAATCACTCGTATAATAAGCTCCACTCAACAAAGTGGACAAACTACAATATTATGACAAGTATAAATCACAGCACTAAGCAAACTTATGATCATGACAAGCACCTCAACACACCTCAAAGACATGTACACATTGGCTAACCTATAAAAAGACCAGCTCAAAAAAATATGCCATTTCAATAATATGCACATTTTATGCTAATTAGTATGCAAATTAATGGCGAAACTTAGGAGGAGGCACTGGATATCACCACTTAAATTATATGTATATCTTTTATGCAGGTTTACATCAACGATAATGACACCTGAAATTTTGCCTTCACTTCATTACAGGCAAGCTAAAAATGATATATACATATCAAGCACTCAAAATTGTTTTTAAAAAAAACAATTGGATGCCTAATTACCAATTTATAATACCCTTATTTATAATAATTTCCCTGCTGTCCTCTATAAAAAACAATTAGATACAGTGTATACTATCAAATTCAACCATAAATCTGCCCATGTATCTATCCCAGGTCTCCAAGTGTTGAGAAACTCCAGAAATCAAAATAATTCTTTTTGTGGGAATGAATATCATCCAATATTAGAATGATTATAACGTGAGATGTAAGTTTGTAATTTGCTTACCTTCAGTACACTTGATAAATCCATTGCCATAATACTCAGGAGGACACTGACAATCATAGTAACCAGGTTGGTTAGTACACCTAGCATATCGTGTACAGTCATTCTCCTGTTTGCATTCATCTATGTCTGTAATATCAAATACAACTCTTTATTATACATCTGTCATCGTAACACCACTAGTTACAGCATGCCGTAATTTTGTGGTATTTTACGGGGTATTTTCATACTACCATATTAGGAAATGCGAATTCCAAATATGGTTATGTGCATAAGCGTCCTCTAATAATAAAAACAAACATGGCTGCTACCAGGATTTGACTGGTCTCCAAAGCAGTTTGCTGATTCTGTTCTAAACTTTTTAGATTTCGGCATTCCCATGATGTATCCTTGGTAGGGAAAGATGTATAATATTAATAAGGTTATTAAAAAGATACCTCAAAGTATGCACTCAGACAGTACGCTGTCGCATCGACCTCCGCTGCGCGTCGGTCAATACTGCTGATGTACTGCCTTCGTTGTGTGCTTGAACAGCATGCAGTAATAAACAAATCCTGTGTAAGTGATGCCATTTTTATTGCAGCAATAAAAGTAATTCAGTTTGGATACCAACTCTTGAATAATATTGACTAAAGCATATAATTTGCATGCTGAGTTCCATAAATTTATGAATCCTTTGTCTTTTAGAAAGTCATTGGTCATGTTTTTTCATTTAATATATATTGGCCATGATGTCACTTGTATCAACCAGCTCGACAAATTGACTTGATTTCCACTCTCTGGCTTGCACATATGTAGTTGGCGTTCCTGTTTGTCATACTGCCCTTAAAATTATTACATATGTACTGCAGTTTATTTTGATTCGTCCCTAAAATCAAAATCCGTATTTCCACACACCATTTGGAAATGAGGTCTGAGAGCAAACAAAGTAGTCCCTTCAGGAGTACCGTTTTTCGAAATATAGCAGAAATAAACAATATTTAGAAGTACAATATTTTTCCCTCGGGGTACATGAATATACTTGTTGAGTGAAATGAAATTTGAACAGTAACGGTACTTTTAGCCAGTCACTTATTTTGACTATAATCAATTTGTATATCACCCATGAAATAATGTTTTCGGTATTTTTACGGTCGATAT